CCCTAGGTCTGGGACTCAAACACACAGTAGGCCTTGTGGGATCCAGCCACCTTTACCACTGTGCCACCTGCTGGCCAGATACATTTATTTCCTGTGTGCACTATGGAACCTGACTCCCGCACAAAATGCAACTCCGTTGTAATACCGCAAACATATCTTGAGCACCACCATGTAAAACGAACTGCAGGGGCTGGCAGGTGGCAGGGTGCTTAAAGCGCCGGACTCCCGCATGGCCGACAGTGATTAGGGTTCTGGACCTGGCAGCTTGCTTTCTCACTTTCCCTCTCTCTCCTTCTCTCTCTGGTGAGCACACGTGCCCTATAGCAAAATCTTTAAAATAATAACAATAAATAAAATAAAATAGTTCTTAATAAAGAAAGGAACAGTATATTTTAAATCAGCATTAACTTATCTCACTTATGCTGTGAAGCTGTCTGAATGTGGGGCACGGCAAGATCACAGTAAGCTGCTGCCCCTTTTTGTGGGTCCTAATAAAGATCAGAATGTGCCCTCGCCCAGCTCGGGGGTCTGCTGAGAGGGTCTCGAGGGGCCACCACCCGACTGCCAGCGGCGGTCACAAAGAGGGAAGCAGCGCGGACTCAGCTGTCTTAGAGAATCTGAGTGTCTCTGCCGTGGATTTGCAGTCTGACAGTGTTCTGTTTTAGAAGCAGATCCCACGTCAAAAGTACCTGTTTTTGTTTAGAGTTTCGTTCAGCACGAGGTCTTCATAGCGCTGCCGGGCGAAGTTGCCTCCGAAGCCCAGGAAGGTCGTGACGTAAACCCTGTACACGTGCTCTGTGTGCTGCACGTCACAGCCCAGGTTGAACTCGGCCAGCAGGACCTTGGCAGCTTCTTCCTGTAAAACAATGCCGAGGGGAGAGAAGAGTTTTCGTTATGGTTGACGTCTAGAAAGCTACGGCATTGCTAATACACGAGGCTTCTTTTTGTTTTCTTCCTTTTTTCTTTTTTCTTTTTTTTTTGCCATATGATGCATGTGCTCGCCAGAGAGAGACAAGAGAGACACAAAGTAAGAAATCACCCCCCAGGGAGGATGGCCATGCCACAATCCCTTCTCTTCTCTTCTCCTCTCGGGATTTTGGGCACAGACATACATGCGCCCGGTGTGGTTTTCAAGCTTCCAGGCCCAGGACTTGAATCATGGTTGACCGTGTGTGAGTCCAGAGCCTCAATCACCTCTCCACCTGCTGTCCCCGAGGCTTCATGTTCTATAATTGCTCTTTAGAATATCTTCAAG